TATGAAGAGGCGGAGTGCTGCTCATTATGTTTTGCTTCCGCTTGCTGCTTCATTTTAAGTTAATAAAAAAATTATTTTATAAAAACATTACTTTTGTCTGAACATGTGAATGATTTTTCTCATCAAAAGAGGAATTTTTTGTTCACAAAATACATGGAAAGTACTTTCATATGACTGGCTTGCAACAACACAATGTTATTTTCACACACAAAACATCACTAGCAATTTTGTTTCACAGAGAACCTAGATTTGCCGGTCCAAAAAAAGATGAGAGGTCATGAACAGTAGAAGTGCAGGTTGTCAAGTAGAGACAAGGAAGAAGGAAAATGCAGTATCCTTATGTTATAAAAAGATCATCACATCATGGGTGAAGCAATTGATCATCAAAAATTTATTAGGGGAAGAATGCTCTCAGAAGTGGAAGAAGTCTTGACCTACATTGAGAAGGAGGATGTTTTGCCTCCGATCGAGAAAATAAAATTTGTAAAGCAAACAAACCGATGCTTTGGGAAGGTGAGACGAGTAAATAAAATTGCTGATATTGATCTTACTTTCCTTGTTGTGTAAGTCATGTGGGTGATACAAAGTTCCTGGTAGAGACCTTGTTTGAGTCGAGCTATAGGGGTTTCCAAGAAAAACGACGGTACATTATCCCACAATGTTCCATCTTCCTAGAAAAGTGGATTTGTGCCAGAAAAGTTACAGAAGATTTTTTGTAGACCAGATAGGCGTATGTGACATAAATAGAGACCAGTCTTTGATGTCTCCCTAGTGGCTAGGGAAGCATTAGCATCACCCTATGGACCGCAAGATCTTGGCCATAGCGTCGAGGAAAGACTCCAGCTCCAAACAAAAATGCAAACCAACAAAAGCACCAAGACGCTCCAAAAAAACTCAACGGGTTCAATGGATCTCTCTTGCGACGACATAAACTTTAACTCTGCAACAATAGTTGCACCGAACCTGCAGAGGAAACGTACCTCTTGATGTAGTAGAGAAACTACCAAATGACATTTATGTTCAACGACACCGCGACCACTCTCAGTACATTTTCATTTAGGACTAAAAAAATCTTCTTGAAATGAGTATTTGAAACACATGTATGAACATCTAGGTGTCCCCACCTAACATCGCCAAAATGACCGCTAGAAATGAGGAACGAATAGAAATTTTGGCGGTGGTGGTTGTCTTCTACTCTCTTTTTATAGATATGCTGGGGAACGCAGTAATTTCAAAAACAATTCCTACGATCACGCAAGATCTATCTAGGTGATGCATAGCAACAAGAGGGGACAGTGTTGTCTACGTACCCTCGTAGACCGAAAGCGGAAGCGTTATGACAACACGGTTGATGTAGTCGTACGTCTTCATGATCCGACCGATCCTAGCACCGAAGGTACGGCACCTCCGCGGTTTGCACACGTTCAGCTCGGTGATGTCCCACGAACTCTAGATCCAGCTGAGGTCGAGGGAGAGTTTCGTCAGCACGACGGCATGGTGACGGTGATGATGAAGTTACCAGTGCAGGGCTTCGCCTAAACACTACGACGATATGACCGATGTGGAAATCTGTGGAGGGGGCACCGCACACGGCTAAAAGATCAACTTGATCAACTTGTGTGTCATAGGGGTGCCCCCTCCCGCGTATATAAAGGAGCAAGGGGAGGGGGCCGGCGGCCTCATAGGGTGCCCCAAGGAGGGAATCCTACTCCTACTAGGAGTAGGTTCCGGCTTTCCTGGTCCAACTAGGAGGGGAAGGAAAGAGAAGGAGGGGAGAAGGAAAGAGGGGGCCGCCCCCCAAGCCCTAAACCAATTCGGTTTGGGCCTAGGGGGCGCCCCACAGCTGCCTTGATGCCCTCTATTTCCACTAAGGCCCGTGAAGGCCCATTGACCCCCCCCCACGAGGGGGGGGGGGTCGGTAACTCCCCGGTACTCCGGTATTTATCCGGTGACCCCCGGAACCTTTCCGGTGTCCGAATATAACCTTCCAATATATCAATCGTTATGTCTCGACCATTTCGAGACTACTCGTCATGTCCATGGTCTCATCCGGGACTTCAAACAACCTTCGGTACATCAAAACACATAAACTCATAATACCGATTGTCATCGAACGTTAAGCGTGCGGACCATACGGGTTCGAGAACTATGTAGACATGACCGAGATACGTCTCCAGTCAATAACCAATAGCAGAACCTGGATGCTCATATTGGTTCCTACATATTCTACGAAGATCTTTATCGGTCAAACCACATAACAACATACATTGTTTCCTTTGTCATTGGTATGTTACTTACCCGAGATTCGATCGTCGGTGTCATCATACCTAGTTCAATCTTGTTACCGACAAGTCTCTTTACTCGTTCCGTAATGCTTCATCCCGCAACTAACTCATTAGTCATATTGCTTGCAAGGCTTATAGTGATGATCATTACCGAGAGGGCCCAGAGATACCTCTCCGATACACAGAGTGACAAATCCTAATCTTGATCTATGACAACCCAACGAACACCTTCAGACACACATTTAGAGCACCTTTATAATCACCCTTTTACATTGTGACGTTTGGTAGCACATAAAGTGTTCCTCCGGTATTCGGGAGTTGCATAATCTCATAGTCTGAGGAACATGTATAAGTCATGAAGAAATCAGTAGCAATGAAACTGTAACGATCATGATGCTAAGCTAACGGATGGGTCTTGTCCATCACATCATTCTCCTAATGATGTCATCCTGTTCATCAAATGACAACTCATGTCTATGGTTAGAAAACATAACCATCTTTGATTAACGAGCTAGTCAAGTATAGGCATACTAGGGACATTATGTTTTGTCTATGTATTCACACATGTACTAAGTTTCCGGTTAATATAATTCTAGCATGAATAATAAACATTTATCATGAAATAAGGAAATAAATAATAACTTTATTATTGCCTCTAGGGCATATTGCCTTCAAGATAACACCTAGACATTATTAAGTATATTGAGTTTACATAGCCCGAGAGTTCGACAAAGCTAAACATGGCGACCAGCTGAAAGTTCTAACGAATTTCTTGTCATAGAATGGGCATCTTCATTAACTTCCATCCCTTTATGCTTAAATATCACTTCTTGGCAGCTACTCATTTTAGAGACAATCTCCCAAATCATCATGGCATGTGCTCCAAGGCTTCATTGATATTTTGGATGAGCGGCTGAGCAGTTTGAAGCGATCACCATGGAACTTAGATCTATATCCCGAGCAAGGAAAAGGGCCTCCATGCATGCTTTCCACACATAACGAATTAGTTATGGCCTCCATTACCATGACTGATGCGCCTAAGGAATTGTCTTCATCAGATCATAATATAATTGTCACGAAACTTCTCAAATTCGCAACTGATACGGGTGCATCAAATTACCCTTCAATCGTCCTCAGGGAGGGGAGGGGGATCCACCTTTGCGGAGGTCTCAAGCTTCTCTCTGGGCGAAAATGCATTATTCGAACGTTTATATCAAGCTTTTGAATGAAGCCTGATATGAAGTTGCATGTTGTGAACTTTTTTTTTGCGGGTAAAATAGGAGTTTCTTCAACTGTAATAAGGCTAGAATATGCTAATACAGGATCGTGAATAAAGGGGGGCCTCTTGGCAACAACAGGCAGTGCTCCGAGCCGTACAAGTATAGTTAGCTAAGCAATATGTAACCCTATTTTGCATATGAGCAACCATAACTAGAATATACTCCCGGTCTGCCATAAGCGTCTTAATGTTCTGGCTGATGTTACCATATAGAGATATGGAGAGCAAAGCATCCTTCATGGTGTATAAGGCTCCCATTGAGTTTGAGTGAACCAATTCGGGAAGGTTAGACCACCGTAGGGCTAGTGACATACCCCTCTAATACTGCCTTGATCTTTGCTTCAAGTGCACATTGCAATAAAAATTGTAGCTTACATGATGCAAAGATAATATGGCATGTGCTAATCTCCAGTATCATATCAACACATGTTGAACCATCCTCCAGAGAGAAGGACCCATCCACAGAAAGAGCCAGTCAATCCTGCTGGTGGCGCTGGCCATGGGAAGGTTGTGAACATGCTTTGGTAAACATCTTCACGAACAACATCCCATATATAATGTCACGATTACTTTCACATACTCCTACGAACCCTAAATAAACTGAGTCCTAGGTTGAAGTTCATGTCGTAGGAATTACTTCAAAGATGAACACGTCTTGGTATTTTTTTTCTTTTCTTATAAGAAACAGTAATAGCTAGTATCTTTTTAATGGGCTGCCCATGTGAGCGCTGTCTACTTATTGCTCGCGGTAGGCAGCACATACTCCTACTAAGGGCCTGTTCGGCAACTGCCCAACTCCTGGTTTTTCTGAATCAGCGGGCGAAGCTGGACCGAACAGGTCAGCTCCCAGAAGCTAGCTTCCCAGATCTAAGACGGGTCGTAGTATAAAAACTGGGAGCGAGTGTTTCATGGATCCCAGAAATCGCAGAAGCTGGAGTTCGAGTTATTTACGGCGAGCTGCCACCGCTAAATGAAAGAAAACGCTTCGTACAGGGAAGAATAGAACGCAGCAACTACCTTCGCTCCCTAACAGGCCAGAATCGCTTAATGGGCCAGCCGGCTACCAGCCCAAGACTAGCGAACTGGGATCTGTGAATTCTGTTGCCGAACGGTTTTTCTGATCCACTATTTTCGTCGGGAAGCTGGAGGTGAGATCGAGAAGCCGGATTTGAGGATTTCTGGAAGCTGGGCAGTTGCCGAACAGGCCCTAATTATCAAATCGTGTCCGCCCCGGTTTTCCCTAGCTGTATCCGTGTAAGCAACAGACTCTGCTTACCTTTGCTGCCAGTCGTCCAACTCCATGCCGAATCGGTTTTCGTCTCCCACGCATCCAAATCTATAAACGTGCTGCTCGATAGCCAGGGCGCAGCAGGGCAGCGACAGATCGAAGTAGCAAGACGAACTTTGGCACGAGATCTGCGAAACCCCGAGGCGCGATGGCGAGCCGGCAGCTGCAGGTGCTGAGCGCGCTGGACGGCGCCAAGACGCAGTTGTACCACTTCAGGGCGATCGTCGTCGCCGGCATGGGTTTCTTCACTGACGCCTACGACCTCTTCTGCATCTCGCTCGTCACCAAGCTCCTCGGCCGCATCTACTACGCCGACCCCTCCAGCCCTAACCCTGGCTCGCTGCCGCCCAACGTGGCCGCGGCCGTCAACGGCGTCGCGCTCTGCGGGACCCTCGCCGGCCAGCTCTTCTTCGGCTGGCTCGGCGACAAGCTCGGCCGGAAGAGCGTCTACGGCATGACGCTAATGCTCATGGTCGTCTGCTCCGTCGCCTCCGGGCTCTCGTTCGGACACACCCCGGCCAGCGTCATGGCCACGCTCTGCTTCTTCCGCTTTTGGCTCGGCTTTGGCATCGGCGGCGACTACCCTCTGTCCGCCACCATCATGTCCGAGTACGCCAACAAGAAGACGCGCGGAGCCTTCATCGCCGCTGTCTTTGCAATGCAGGGCTTCGGCATCCTCGCCGGCGGCGTCGTCACGCTCGTCCTCTCCACGGTTTTCCGTAACGCGTTCCCGGCGCCAGCGTACCAGGTCGACGCCGCCGCGTCCACCGTGCCGCAGGCCGACTACGTGTGGCGCATCATCCTCATGCTCGGCGCGCTGCCAGCGGCGCTCACGTACTACTGGAGAACGAAGATGCCGGAGACGGCGCGGTACACGGCGCTGGTCGCAAAGAACGCGAAGCAGGCCTCGCTGGACATGTCCAAGGTGCTTCAATCGGAGATCGAGGCGGAGCCGGAGAAGCTCGACGAGATCATGGCCAGCGGCGAGGAGTACGGCCTCTTTACGTCGCGGTTTGCCAAGCGCCACGGCCTCCACCTCCTCGGCACGGCGACGGCGTGGTTCCTGGTCGATGTCGCGTACTACAGCCAGAACCTATTCCAGAAGGACATCTTTGGCAGCATCGGCTGGATCCCCAAGGCGCGCACCATGAACGCGCTCGAGGAGGTGTTCCGCATCTCCCGCGCGCAGACGCTCATCGCGCTCTGCGGCACCGTGCCGGGCTACTGGTTCACCGTGTTCCTCATCGACGTCATCGGAAGGTTCTGGATCCAGCTCGTGGGGTTCGCCATGATGACCGTTTTCATGCTCGGCCTCGCGGTGCCTTACCACCACTGGACGACGCCGGGCAACCACGTCGGCTTCGTCGTCATGTACGGGCTCACCTTCTTCTTCGCCAACTTCGGGCCGAACGCAACGACGTTCATCGTGCCGGCCGAGATCTTCCCGGCGCGGCTCCGGTCGACCTGCCACGGCATCTCGGCTGCGGCGGGGAAGGCCGGTGCCATCATCGGGGCGTTCGGGTTCCTCTACGCGGCACAGTCGCCGGACCCGGCGCACGTGGACGCCGGGTACAAGCCTGGGATCGGCGTGCAGAAGGCGCTGTATGTGCTCGCTGCGTGCAACCTCCTGGGGTTTTTGGTCACGTTCCTCGTGCCGGAGTCGAAAGGGAAGTCGCTCGAGGAGATGTCCGGCGAGGCCGACGCCGAGGAAGGCAACGGCGCCAATAAAGTCCGCCCGTCGGGAGAGCAGCTGGTTTGAATAGTTTTGATCCTCGAGAAGGCAACACACGCATACGTGCATGTTTGCATGCGACGAGTTTTTTTTTGTGTCGTGACCGGAACTTTGTGTAGGTGTATACAGTAAATTTTGTCACTGTTACATGGTAGGCATCGGTTGATATTACGCTTGATCTTAGCCAAAAGGTCGACAAAAATATACTATTTGTTAGAGAAAGGAAACATCAAGATTTTAGATCTCTCGACTTTTTAATTTTTTTTGCAGAGAGAAACTTGTGTTACTTAATTAATGAAGATTAGAATCAAGATGACATAAATGTTTTGAGTCGAATGATTGAACTGTCATTAACGATCGCGAGAAGATGCATCGGTTCCAAAAAAGAGCGAGAGGCATGGTTTGCAGATGGAAGCGCTCAACGGTTGGGCAAGGGGAGATTTTCCCTTAATTACATAAGTTCTTCATGAAATCTTTGATGAGAACCTGAAACATAAACTCACAACGAGAAATAGCGTAACGTGATGTCTTGAACAAGGATATCTCAAGAAGAGAACCCCCCCCCCCTGAACATATTTTTGGAATGTAGAATTTGATAGAGGCTTGGTAAATAAATCAGCAAGATTGTTGCATAATTTAACTTGCAAGATGTTTATTTCCCCACTTTTCTGAAGATCATGGGAAAACCCACTTAGGAGAAATACATTTAGTGATATTGCTCTTGATGTATCATGTTTGCATTTGTGCCACATGCCGCATTATCTTCATAGATAATGGTAGGTGATTCTATCGAACCAATTCCACATGACTGTTGTATGTGGTTTATCATTCCGCGAAGCCATACACGTTCACATGTTGCTTCAAATAATGAAACTATTTCAGAATGATTGGTAGATGTTGCCACCAGATTCTGTTTTAAAGACTTCCTGATATAGCAGCACCACCATGTAGGAACACAAAGTCGGTCTGTGATCTGGCATTATGGGGATCAAATAAATAACCAACATTTGTGTATCCAATCATATCAGAGTCCTGGTTTATCTGGAACTGGAAAAACAAGCCAAGATCCTTTGTGCCTTGGAGATATCGAAAGATATTCTTCATTCCGGACCAATGACGTTTGGTGGGAGCTGCACTGTGTCTAGAAAGTAGATTCATTGCAAATGCAATATCTTGCAATTTGTAAGATACATAAGCACTCCAACGGCACTGAGGTATGGAACTTCAGATCCCAACACCTCTTCTCCATCATCCCTTTGCCCGAATGGATCTTTCTCTATGTCTAGAGAACGAACCACCATGGGAGTTTTTGATGCGTATGATGGACAATGCTAACTTCCAATCGACTGGAAGTCAAGGAACAGATCCGCACGATTCCTCCCTTTCATAGCTTGCATACATGCATTAGCTTCATCTTATTTATTTTTTCTGTGCGTGTCCACTATCCACTAGCACTTAACTAGCAACTCTATTCATATACATGTAGAAAAAACTAAATTGATGATGCCATTAAAGATTATTCCCAATGCAAAATTCAAAATATTTTGTAGCTCACACCGTCGCTCCGATTGGAAAACCATTTTCATATAAAAGATTCGTCGCGAAAAGAACTTCGAAACAAGATCCCATATTAATATGATCTGACGACTTTTTTTGGGGTCAAAAGTTATCACGTCCAGGCTAAGTAAGTTATCATGTCTCTGGTTCATAAGTTTCTGACTGTTTATATAGAAATTACCGGGGCATAAAAATGGTCAACCAACCTTCTCCCCACGTGCAAATGAACTAAGACAAAATAACTGATGTCATCCTAGATTCCCCTCTATTTCAAAACTTCAAAATCTTTTGTAGATCAAACTGTCGGTCAGGCTGAATAATCTTTTTCACATAAAAAGATTTGTTGCGATGAGACCTTCAAAAATAGATCACATATCGATATGTTCCAACGACTTTTTTTCGGGTCAAAAGTTACCAGGCGCAGGCTAAGTAAGTTATGACGGCTGTGCAACTAAGTTACTTCTTGTTTATATAGAAATTACTGGGGCATAAAAATGGTCCTCCAACCTTCTCCCCACATGCAAATGAACTAGAGGACAGAATAGCTAATGTCATCCTAGATTTTCCCCTGTTTCAAAATTTCAAAATGTTTTTTAGCTCAAAACTGCCGGTCCGATCAAAAATCCGTTTTCACACAAAATTCTGTCACGACGTGAGCGTTTAGATCCCATGTTGATATGCTCCGATGATTTTTTCTGGATCAAAACTTACCACTCTTGGGCTAAGTAAGTTATCACGCATGTGCTACATATGTTACCATGTTGTTTACACAGATATTACCGAGGCATAACCTGGTTTCTCCAACCTTCTTATGAGCTCGGGTTAAAGTTATCACGGTTTTTGTTTGTGAGTTATCACGTATGCGTAGAGTACCAAACTGTTTACACGAAGGTTATCGAGAGGGAGGGGGGGTTTAAACAACCCCTCGCCAAAGTTATTGGGACCGAGGCACATAAATTATCAATTTTGCGGTGTGAGAGTTACCATGCTATTCACACAAAAGTTACCGAGGGGATATTTCATCAACCCCTCCCCCATGCCAAAGTTATCAGAACCGATGTACATAAGTTATCTGGTATGTGATGTATGAGTTACCATGTTATTCACATAAAAGTTACCAGGGGGATATTTCATCAACCACGGTGTTTTGATGAAATATTTTGGGCTCAAAAAGTTACCCAGTGTTTGTATGTGAGTTATCAACTTTGTTGTGCATATTTTACCATGTTATTTATACAGAACTTACATGTTATGTTTTCAAACACTATTCCTCCCGAGTCATAAGTTATCACAGAGTTTGTAATAAATTATCAGGTATGTGGTGTGTATATTACCATGCTATTTACTCAAAAGTTACCGGGTTGTGTGTTTCAACACCCCTCACCCCGATCAAAACTTACCGCGATGTTTGTATGTAAGTTATCTGGGCAGTGATGTGTAAAGTATCATCATATTTACAAAAAAGTTATCGAGGGCATATTTCATCAAAACCCCTGCCCCCGGCGGAGGGAAAAGTTATCATGTTTTCCGTGCGTAAATTATCATGATATTCCCACAGAAATTACCGGGGTACATTTCATCAACTTCTTCTGGTTTAAAATTTACCATCGTGTTTGCATGTAAGTTATCAAGTCTGTGGTGCAAAAATTACCAGGCTATTCACATACAAATTACCAGTTGGTATATTTCAACAACTTCTTTCACCTCAGGCTAAAATTATCACGGTATTTGTATGTAAATTATCACGTTTGCGGCCCAAAAATTACCGTCTTTCAGAGATGACCTACCACCTTTCCTTAGTTAACATCTCCTACCTCTCTGACTGAATATTCTTTAGAAGAATCGTTGGTCACATCCCCAAAATCATCTGCGTGGTCATCCGAGTGTTGGCGGAGATACCTACTTCCATCATAAAGTGGAACAACAACGATAAACTAGAGAAAACTCATGGAATTAAAAAGGGGAAATGTATATTTTGTAGGAGATACAATAGTAAATATCATGATCAAATAGTTTAGCTTTATCCAACTTCACACGTACCTAGACAGTGTGGATTGGTTAGTGGATTGAGGTCTTCCTTAGCTACATGTCACAGGTGCTGAGTTCGAGTCCCCCGCATGCAATTTTTCTTGCCCAACCTGCTCTATTTTTGGATGGTTCTTAGTAACTGCAAAAAAAGGAAAGTGCGGGCGTGCATGTAATTAATTCAGCGTGAAAAAAAGGAAATGCGGGCGGGGAAGTAATAATCAACGTGATTTCGGGGAGGAGCGAAGGGATAGTTTTCGTGTATTTTAGAAATCCTGCAAATCTGAGAGGCCTATAGTGTTAAAAAATGCATGTAGGCACTAATACGTTCTCTTCTTTTGTAGAAAAGATTAGACCCGGTAGTAGATAATGTGATACAGTATAATAATCACATCGAATGCCTTGAACTACATCTGTGATAAATTACTTTGAACTCCTACCAAGGGACCTTATCGGAGATTATATTCGTCAGGTTCTTTGTTGTGATATCACGGGTGCTAAACGCAATGAGGTTTGCCCTACATTTATTTCTCAAAACTGAATGGTTTGTTGATCAACGCTGTAGGCTACAGTAGAATGGAAAAGGCTCTGCAGAAGCTGAATTTCATTTTGGAAGTTCAGTTGACAGATTAATCGGAAGTCATTATGTCAAGCCCATACATGACTTGTCAGTGGTTGATCCTTTTGCAGAAATGTTGAGTTTTGAAACACGCTGTAATGTCAGTTTGAACCTCTCATATGTCCATGTTCAGCTGATCAGCACGGGCGTCTGCAGCTACATGTGCTGAATTTCATTTTCAATATCAGTTTGAATATTGTAATCTTCGAATTTGAGCCTTCTAACTTTGGAATTTGATCCTTGTAATATTTCGGGCTTTTGTGGTATAATCGTTGAAATGACGTCGTATGAGACTCCTATATTGGTAGTACTATTTTGACCTTAATATGCAATTGATGATTAAGATCTGGACCTCAGTGGACTCTTATTTTTATTTACCATTCTCGAATGTGTTTCCCCTATCGATCTCATCACAAATGATTTATATTGCTGACTCAGACAACAATCTTTCAACATTATTGTACACAGTTGGTTTCTTTAGCTATGTGATCTGTAGAGCGCAGAATTATCGCACTCGAGTGTCCATCATTACTCGTCTGTGTAATTTGACCTCATCACCCATGGGTAAACTTATTGTCCTCTGTTGGCCCCTTCGACATGGCCTATAGCTCGTGCAGGCCCCCTTCAACGCCAGCTTAGTGTTGTTAACGCCGATGCGTGCCCTTGTCCATGACGTGTCCCCGGGTCTGGCAAGCCTGGAGCATCGCCTCCTCAATGTTAAATTCGTCCGTCTATGCATGCCCAGTGCTGGCAACACCGACGTGTGCCTTCGTCCACGATGTGTCCCCGGGCTTAGCAAACCCGACACATGCCTCACCAACACCCT